ATACATATGTTGAATACTGACAATGCAAACTGAAACCTGAGCTTAAGGTTCCATTTCAGGCCAGGAATACTGCTACTCTGATTTCAGCCTATTGAGTCACCTTCCTGTGTGTTTTGCTGAATTTTCCTTCAGCTAAATGAGAGAAGCCAGAAACTGAGATGAGAGATTGCTAGTTTAAAAATCAAGCTAAAAGAAGAAAAATCCTTCAGGGGAACAGTCAGCACCTACACAGTTGATAAGCAGTTATTAAAATGGAGAAAATAATTGTTTGCCTTGTTACCTTTTCATGTTGCACTGCTGTTTCCTTTGTACATAATTTCTAGGTAATTATAGGTCAGGATGAAGTAAGTAGATAACAGAATTTTGGAAAAGATTAACTTGACTTTTTATCATGAATCAAAGGGAGTTAGAAGACTTCATTACTCCTTGGAAATGAATATTTGGCTTTGTAATCCATTAGTGTGACAGATCATGTTTCAGATGTCAGACTTGGACTCTGATTTGCCCCCTTGATGTTTCATCCTCTCTTCATTAGGAAATCTTTCTTCTCTGAGTTGCATCTCAAGTTCTGAAAGAAAATTGGTGTGAAAGCTGTCCTTCTTAATGCAGTATTTCAGGAACCTTTGTACTGAACTTTATGCTCTCAGTACACAGCTCTAGATAAAAAAAGTGTCCATGCATTTCATTGTATTGAGGTATATTTGACTGAATCCCTTCAGAGGTTTCAGTGAGACACTAGCATTTTTGGTTTATCATCCTTTATCTTAGCCTTGGACCTGAAGGAGGAGAAGGTGGTATAAAACAGATTCTGGTGTAGCTGGCAGAGAGTCGTAGTGATCTTGAATTTGACATGTTATTTATGAAGTACTAATTCATTTCAGTGCGTTAGCAGTGTGGCTTTTTCTTACTGATAGCCTAGATTCAGCAAGTCTCATTTTCACTTATAGCACCTCTGCCTGGTCTTCCCTGCTAAATAGCTCTGTGCCTTCGGAGGCATCCCTAACCCCAGTAGGAAACACTGAGTAGAGGGGATAAATTTAAATTAAAAAGAAACTGAGGATAGGCCACAGAGATGTATGTCTGATCATATTAAATATATTCCTTTTGTCACCTCAGATGAAATCGCTGTATGATCTACAACGTTTGATTTGAACTTTAGCACCTATAAGATAGATGAAAGTATTTCTTTAAAATACCTAATAAGTTGTAATATGGGATTCAAGTTCTCACTTCAGTTTTATAGTCCTAGAGAAACTCACATAAACCAGATTTTCTTTAACGGGTGTACTTTAAAGTTCTGGGTTTTTATATAAAATAATTTGTTAATTAAAATGCAGGACATTGTTGTAAAGGACAGTTTGGGCCTCTGCGTTGAGGAACACATAAAACAGCCTGTCCTGTGTTTGACACCAGTTAAATGCACATTTTAATTCAGTTGTCAACTGCAGAGGGAATAGTCAGAGCTAATTGGAAGTAAGAGAGGTTAAGAAACTGAACTTAAAAAAGGCAGGAAGGTTTTCTGGAAGCAAAACTAGGTTGGATCTGCTAACTCTAAGCTTTGTTTAACTGGGCCAGAGCTTTAAAGGTCTTTCCAGTTAGATGTCTGCTATTGTCTGGCTTGCACTGCCTTAATATTTCATGGCTTCTCTCAGGTGCTGAGATGCTATAAAAACATTTTCCACATATTTTTGTGGATTTATGAGGCAGAACTGAAAATGACAGAAGTAACTTAGTGCACTTAAACAACTTTTCTTACTGTACTAGATTATTTTAATTTAGCATTCAGATTTTCATTTAAAATGAGTCATAAATATTTGCAGTCTTACATTTCACTTCACAGTGAAGCCATTTTCTTTAAAGTCAAAGATTTTATGCCACTGTAAGTTAATAAAAATGTCTCCTCAGTCTTTACTAGTGCAAAAATGTACCTGCTTTATTTGAAGCATTCCTGGTCTGATCACTTATGTGAGAAGTTATTGAAAGTTTGGTGCTACATTAAACTTGTGTTTCTTGACTGTTAATCTCGATTTTATAAATCAGGAAGGCATGAGACGAGTCATTCTCAGTCACCTTGCCTGCTGTCAGCAAGGCACTGAGTACAGCTTGTAGTCCAGTTCTCTGTACTGAGCAGTATTGTGCTAAATCTCCTAAATCTGTCTGAATAGAGGAATATCGTTCACCAAACTAGGTTATGTACGTGCCAAACAAGTGTTCAGCCAGGCCTTAACATTTCAGGCTTTTTTCTCCTGGTTGCTGTTTGCGATGTAGTCAGTGTCATGTTTATTAAATAGTCTCTTCCTTTGTCTCGCTATGCTTAGTTCTCTGCCTTTACCTGAAGTCATAGTAATGCAAACTGTCACAGTGATTTTGTCAGGACAGGGATCTCCCAATGTATCTGACATGGTGTTTTTTGAGGTTTTTGATTTTCGGAGCTAAATTTGAAGGTGGCAAATTAAAAAGTGTTGCCAAATTAGAAGATGAAACTGCTGTAATAAAAGAGACTTCTTTGTCCGAAATTCAGTATAATTTGGAATAGAATAATGTGTCTTTGGTGCACAAATCTTCATTTTCTATCCTAGTTGTTACTTTTTTCCCAAAGTCAGCCCCTAAATTCTTTGCTGGCTCTCCCTGTTTCCCTACTCCCCACCTCGTTGCTTTTACTCCTTCTATTCTGGCTGGTATTTTAACATTTTCTCTAAATTATTGCCTGTTTAATTTCTAGGGTTATTAGGACTGGAGGAAACCTGGCTGATTTAACTCTTGCTGTTTTCTCAGTTGACCAGTCTGTTTACTTTTTTTGTCCTCAATGATGTTGGTGGTTAATGTGGTTTGAGAATGTTTCTGCGAAAAGGTAACACAAAGGAGAGCTGTAGAGAAGATTTTTATTCAAGTTGTTACACTTGAAATTTGGCTGATATTTTTCATGTGGGATTTGTAGAGTATGCCCAAGACAAAGTAGTCACCGTGGAGGATGGACATGGTCTGTTACGTTTTTCGGTTAATGCAAACACAGCGTGAACGTGTGCAGTCGTGTTTCTCATAGTGTAGACATGCTTTAGGACAGATGTGGTCTTATGAGCTAGTTTGGTTCTCTCTCAAAGTTATGCAGAATCACTTTAGCAATAACAGCACTTGATTTTGAGGAGTATTATTTTACCACCATAATGTCATTGAGTAAAAATGTGGCAGGGCCATTCTCTGACTGATGTGTGTGTGGCTCTCACAAACTCTAGATGGGATTCTGTTTAATTTTGGAAGCCTGAGTCCATCGTGGTTTAGCATGATTTATATATTTCTGTACCATGCTGCAGTGTATGTATCTTGTCCTACAGAAAATAGGAATCCTTAAGCCCCCTCAAGTACTTTTCTCCTCACTTAGTTTCCAGCTTTCCTGCTGTGTTTCCTTTTTATGTCTTCTGCATTTGCTGCTTCTTTGAACCAAGTTATTGACCTCATCTAAGGAAGCTGAAAATTGTACAACTTCAGACACTGGACTGAAAAGGTATAAAGGTTTAATCAATGGACAAAATCCAAGAAGCTCCTTTGCTGAAAATGCTGGTGTTCCTGTTGACTGGAAACAATTTTCTTTTTGTAAATCAGAAGCCTCTAGACTGACTTGCAGAATTGAAGAACCACACCAATATTTAAACATCTGAGCTAAGAATTGTCCAATGTTTGCTTCTACTTGGTCTACTAGAGGCTTCAGCCACTGACTGAACAAGCTGGTAGCTGAAGTCACTTGCATCACATGGTTGCTTACTAGAAAATGATCAGATATGGAACCTCAGTAGTGTAGGGATCACAGACGTGAAAATTAGTTGAGAATTTTGTATTGGCAAAATGCAGAACAGAAATAGGAGGGTTCTGAGTGGAGTCCTTTGCAACTTTGACATGATCACGTGAATTTGTATGTATGTGAGTTTTGGAAAGCTGTCTTTGCCAAAAACTTTAGAAGTCTCAGTAAAAGCCAATCTGGTAGGGATTTTTTTTTTTTTTTTTTGCATTTGAGCATTTAAAACTAAGAATTCTCATAAAGAGAGTTTCTAGAAGCCTCTTTATGGGTAGGTCTCCTTAAAAAATAGAAAAATACTTTTTTTTTTTCTTTAATATTTTACATTGCTAGAGGATATGCAGTTAAGGCCACTAATGCACCTGAGAACCGTTTGGTACATGGAATTTCAGGGAGAAGGCACACGGGATTGGTAGTTCCATTGCAGGGATTCCCTTGTCATTCTGTAGTGGAGATGATGTTATTAGAATAATTTGCTGTATTTCATTCAGTGTAATCAAGTGCTGAACTACATATTGCCATACTCCTTTAAAAGAGACTATTGATCCATCCATTATGTTTATTTAGATAGATCTGAGGCTGTCAGAAATGTTGTGGAAGGCTTCTGTGTTTTGTCTGTAGTTTCCAATTCTTTGACATTTTAAGCGGTAGGTGCTCTTTGCATGTTGTCTAAATTGTGTTTTCTTGTTCTTCACTGTGCTGCCTGTAGGCCACTAAACCTGCAGAGTGGAATGGTATTTCATGTGGATGTTTTATTCTAGAGTCTCTTGTTACTGTTAAGTGTATGAGTGATAAACCTTGTGTGGGGGAGAAAGATGGTTGCAAATTAAATGTACGAAGGGAAGATTATTAATACCAGTATAAGTTTTATAGCCTAATTTTTATCCTTGTGTATTGTATAGTTGATAGCTCCTAAATTTTAGGATGCCATTCATTTTTGTTAGCAGTACTCTGGCACCAATACTTGACCTTAACTAACAATGCTTTTGCTGGTATTCTCGTGGTGAAAAAGGTCTGGGTTAACATTTCTTGTAAGTAGTTTAATTGTATATGTCTTGAAAAAAAACATAGTGGGTTTTTTGCAGACCATGTTGTAAGAGTCTATCTTTTATCATCTGTTATTTGCTTACAGCATTTTGGTGTCTGAGTGAAAAACAAGCAAAATGGTGACATGTAATTATTTTAGGGTTTTTTTTTCTTTTTTTTTTAGAACAAATTCTGTACAACATAAAACAGGAGTACAAACGCATGCAGAAGAGAAGACATTTAGAAAATAGCTTCCAGCAGACAGATCCTTGTTGTTCTACTGATGCACAGCCACATGCATTTCTCCTTACTGGACCAGCTTTGCCAGGTACCCAGAAAATTCCGTGTAATTCTGTGTGTTTTTAGACTCTGTGTAAATAATTTTTTCCAGTTACTTGGTGGTTTATGGCACATTCTCATCAGTTATTGCTGCCTTTTTTTGTCAATACTAGCATTGATCTGGAAGATGGTAGCTTCTCATTTTAAGAATCGGTAGGATGTAAAGCTGGCATTTGTTTTCAAGAGACTGTCCTGCATACCCTGTCCCTGATATTATAATAGGCTTTTGTAAAGCAGGTATCACTGCACTAATATACTGTACTGTGATACTGTACTGTAATTTTTATATAAAATAGAAGCTTAAATATGTACATGGCAACTGCTATATAAATGGTGTTCATAGTGTTTGTGTAACACTCTTGGTGTTTTGATAGTTGTGCTTGTTGTCCATTGCAGATATGTTCCTTTTGAGTGTCCAGTTCTACTTTAATAGTAATTAGGAGGTTCAAGTAGCAGAGAAAGATTTCTCCAGATACTTTGTAAACTTCTTTTAATGTAAAGGATGTGAAGAAAACTGATTATAAAAATGATTCTGATCTACTTGTAAATTGTTGTGCCCAAATATTTAATCTTAGGTACTTCATCTGCAGCATCATCACCATTGAAAAAAGAACAGCCCCTCTTTACTCTCAGACAAGTTGGAATGATCTGTGAACGTTTGCTGAAAGAACGTGAAGAGAAAATCCGTGAAGAGTATGAAGAAATTTTGACCACAAAACTTGCAGGTATCTTACAGTTCAGAATGATGTGTTAAAGTGAGTTTGGAAGCTTAAAACTTTTTCTTATTTTTGTGATACAATATTTTTTTTTTTTCCTGACCTATCTTATTAAGGAATGGGGTTACATGCAGAATGGAAAAAACAATGTTTACTCCTTTTTGTCGTCTATGCTGCTTTGGATAGAAACTATGACTCCTGGGTATTACTAATCAGTGAAAATAGTGGGTTTATTTCAGTTAGAGCTTTCTCTTGCTGTCATGTCTGAGTTGATGGTTTCCTCCTCGTTTTTTTTTCCCACAAGGACTTTGTATTCTACTGCCCTAAGAGCTCTTTGTGAAGAACTTCTTGTGTTTTGGATTTTTTTCCCTGCTTGGGAACTGACTTCTTTTTTCTGGAATTTGGCAAGATGACAATACCTAAGATTTCCCTTTCTCTTCCCGGTATTAACATTACACTGCTGCCAGCAGTGTCTGATATCTGCCTGAGAGTCAGTTTAACTGCATTTCTGATGTGCCGTGTTGAATTGTTGTATTTCACACCATTCAGCTGAAATTTTTGGCACCTGATGCCAGCTTATCTTTCCAAAAGGATCATGTTAATGTCAGCATTGTAAATATGACCTTTCTTCAGTTTTTGCAGTCCTCTACTTCTGAGCCTCTTGCTGGCATTTGAGCACCTAAATTCTGGTGCATTCAGAGTAGGTGCCTTCACAGTATCATCTGGTGTCTAATTTAATATCTGGTGTGATTATAATGAGCATCCAAGTGCACCATTCAGCAGCAGACTTGTGTTTGAATGCCTACAGCTGTTCTGCTTCCCACCTGAAAACACATCAGAATTAAAGTTTTCTGATCTCTTCAGGTGTGTGAATAAAACCTTCTACAGGCATTCCTGTGCTGAAAGTCACCACACCTGTGTCAGGATTGTGGGTTGCCTGTGATAGTATTGTCTCTGCACCTGAGATTCAGTTCATGTTCTGTGCTTGCTGATCTGCCATTTCTGTGTAAGAAATTCCTATAGTTCTAAGTCTTTTGTAAATCTGCATCTATTTACAAATTAACTAGAGTCCTGAATACTTCTGTTGCTTTGGGCTTAATGTTCTATTTCTGTGTTTTTCTTTTTAACCTGCTTCAAACTGATGAATTAGGACTGCAGAACTTTTTTCTCCTAATTTGTGTTTGTTAGGAGTTAGGTTAGTTCTTGTGTTCTTTTAAATGTATTTCATTTAGCAGTGATCATAACCATTTGAAGGCCAGATAGATTTACATCTGTTTCATACGCTTTCAGAGTACCAACTTGTAGTTCTTTACAAGCAGGAAACCCTTCTGTCAAGTTCCTTATATGTGCTCCATCTTTCAGTCCCAAAGGGAGCATTGTCATTTTTGGTTTTGGGAAAGGAGGGGATTGAATTCCATCTGGGGAGTTGTGGTTTAGTGAGGTGAGTTGGGTTTACTTGTTCTTACAATGGTGCTCACCAAGAGCAATTAGGAAGATCACGTTACTGCATCTCGTACACGAGGCCAATAATACGTTTTCAGCATTATATGGGAATTTAGAAAGAGACTGCCAAAAGAATTTAGAAATTCCTTACATAGAAGGCTAGTTGTAGTTGTCTGCTGACAGAATGGTTATATGCTTTTCTAAACTTTGTGCAGTAAGGAGATTCTCGGTGAAGTCAATGGAAATTAACTGGAAATTCCATAATAAATCTCAATTAAATAGCTTCTTTCAAGGGACTTAACTGAACGTGTACATTCAGACACTTTCCTTATTCCTTTCTGAATCACAGTTGTCGTGTAGGTGGTTAGCCAGGTACTGCCTATTCTTTTCTTTTCCCATGTTCTTTGTGAGCAGAGTTGCTTTTCATGCAGAATGAGCATTTGGTAAATGGAAAACTCAGATCTCTGTAATGCCCTGATTTCCCTTCCTGCTTCTGTTACCTGAAACTGCTGTGTTAGCATGAACTTGGGCTTGCAAGGGGCTAAGTGAAAGACTGACTAGAAAGGTTTTCTAGAATTTGTGAGAAACAGCCTTTCATATTAAAGGTCACGGTGAAGACTATAGTAATCATATTTGCATACATATCATTTAGCCACCTTTTGACTTAAAATAGGATGTATATGATACAGGATGACAGTGACATAAGTATCTTTACCAGTGTTCACTTAAATTTTCAAATTGTTCATTGTAGGTTGCTATTACCTTTGGATTGCTTAACTTCTGAATCTGAGTGCCACAAGAAAGGGGCTTTTTAGTAACTGGATTTTTTAAAATTTGCAAAGCCATAGTTCAAACAAAGATGATGTTACAAAGCAGCTGTGTATGTTGACATACAGCTTTAAAGAAGGAAGTTTGCAAGCTCATTTTTGGCCTTTAACACATACTTTTAGGAAAAGTTCTAGTTGCTGTTATTTTTTGAAATGGTTTCTGGGCAACAGATCCTTCGATCCACTCTTTGTGTTACTTTTTTGTTTGGCTACAGTCTTTGCAGGGCTGCTGAAAAGCCGTTGGTTAGAACTGCAGTGAAACAGGTCCTGCTTGTGGGCAGAGGGGAACTGGCTGCTGTGACTGTGGGCCCCCTTGGTCAGGGATGAATGTCCTTAGATCTTTGGGTCCAGTCCATACTTTGGGCTGCTGCTGCACTACTTGCTGATTACTGATACCCTGTTTACTTCAAAGGTGAAGCTCATCCCTGCAAGAGGATGGGAACTTTAATGGGGCAAACCTGTGGGACTAGGAACCACTACAAATCTAACTGCATTTTTGGTTCAAGATTGCCTTCTTTGACCTTGCCCTTTTCTCAGAACACCCCACATTGCTGCACATGTATTTTTCCACAAGGGAGGAAGGGGAATGGAGAGGAGCGGCATCTGGTAGATATTACTCTCCTTGTTCAATTTCCTAATTCTGAAAGGTGATATCCTGCTGATGAGTGCAATATTAAAACTGAATAAAGTACTGCAAATGTATTTGTATGTATGCGTGTATAGAAAGAATAACCTTTCTGGGAAATAACAGAGCTTAGTTCAAAGCCAAATTAGTATCTTTCATATCTAAATTTCATTTCAGATGGCACAGTAGCTGTTTTCATGCAGTCCACAGTCAACTATGTGTCTCCTATAGTAGCTGCTTTTGTGCTTGCAATTACTCGGTATTAGTCACTTAGCATTTCATCCTTTTAGTTTCTCATTTGCTTTTGATTTTTCTGGTGGTCACCAAAAAAGAATTTCTAACTCTGTAGCAAATCCCTTTCCTGCACTTCTGTGTTTCCATTTCATTGAATTAATTTTCTTACATCTGGTAGTGATAGGAGGAGAGAAATTGTTTCCACCCCTAACACTGACCTTAATGCCATGTTCACTGTAACTACTCTGCCTCCATTATGGATCTGTGAAATGGGCACACTTCATTAGTTCAAAATACAGTGTGTGACACTTAGCAGGAGTTAGGTATATTGAGGTCTTTGTTTACGTGCAGCATAGTTCTCTTCAAGCATATTGCTGTCCTCCTCATTACAGAAGTTTGTAAGGGGAAGTCTTTTAATTAAGGGGACGTGCTGCATTGTTGTTCTGGGGGATAAGAAGGAAATGACAGCAATGAACTGTGTAATGTCACTTAAAATGACTAGTAGTGGGTGTGTGTATAACTTTGTGTGATTTCTGTGTATAAAAATTGGCCCTGAATATTTTTCAGCTTGAGTTAAACTTAATGCACTTCTAATGCTTCGTCCTTGCAGAACAATATGACGCATTTGTGAAGTTCACGCATGACCAGATCATGCGACGATATGGAGAACAGCCTGCCAGTTGTGAGTATCTGCTTCTTTTGGTCCCTGTAGCAGCACTGAATTACCAAATGTTCAATAATTTAAATGGCCGTTGTTTGTTGTTAAGCTTTTACCTTAGGCCCTAAGGTAAAATACTTGAAATGGATAATATGGAAGACTGAGGTTGAAAGGAAGGTGTGAGAGAAAATGAGCTTGTTTTTAAAACATGTAAAACATGTAAAACATGTAGAACTGTCTCCCGTAGCTTGCTGGGTTTTGATACTGCCATAGCAGGTTTGCAGTGAGCTGGCATTTGTTACCTCTGTCATTAACTCTTGTTTTTTCTCTTTCCAGATGTTTCATGAATCACACTTTCTGCATATGTGGGCTGCCCTATACACCCTGTTTTATTGTTGCAAGCTGTCCCAGTAAAGACTTGCAGCAATGCCATATTTTTTCCCCCTGTGAACACAGGTTATTTCAAGCTTTTGTCAGTGGCAACCACTCTTATGCAGCAACTGGTTTTGGAGTGCTCCCTGATGTCAGTACCACCTGGATGTGGACCTTTGCTACCTGTAATAATACCAGTGGCCTCATTTGCTGTATCATTACGATTTGGCTTCTTATGTTAATAAGTTTGAAAAAGTAAAGGATTAAAGCTGGTGTTCTAGAAGTTGCCCTTCACTGGTTGTGTAAATAAAAATGTAGAATGACACTTCTGACTGAAGTTAGTGTGGTTTTCATAACTGTGCACTACAACAAAGCTGTAATCACAGTTAAGTTAGAATGTAATCCCAGGACAATTTTAAGCAAATAGCCCACAGTACTGCCTGTGAAATAGTGAAGGAGGGCATTTCTGTATTCCATGACTTTTTTGGGGGTTAAGAATGGGTTTATATGATTTCTCATTTTTGTAGTTTTTATTTATTCTATCAGTCTTTAACAAATGTTTATTGCTGCAATTTTTCAGTGTATCATTGTTTTACTGCCCTTGTAGTACTGGAATTTAGTTGGAAGAATAAAACATTTACTTCTAATCTGTTTTTTTTAATATGCAGGTGGAACTTTTGCTGTGTATGAATAAACTTAAATCTGAGTGTTTAAATGAAAACTTTATTTACTAGCAATAGTGGGTGGGTCAGTTTTAGATCAGGAGGAGGAGGTGGATGAAAATCTCAGGTCATTCTTCAGAGGCAAAGAAATCTTCCTTAGATTGGCTGTATTGTTTCTTCTTGTGGAAGCATGTTTGGTACAGAACTGACAAGAAACTGTTGATGTAACTTGCTGCAGCTGACTCAAACAGCTGCATTTGCCTTCCTTCAGATTTAAATGACACATCAAAGGAAATTTGTTCATAAGATAGAGTGGGCACATGCACTGCAAGCTGAAACTGTGTAGGTATTGCAAGAGCTAAAGGTGTGTAATCTCTGTTCAGGGCTGAAGAGTTTGTTGTTGGACGCACTCAGCTGTTTGCAGGCTGCTCTGTCGCTGCTGGCTGCTGCTGTCTGGGCAGTGCTGAGTCTCAGCGTGAATTGCTGCTAAGTTCTACATGGCAAGTCTGGATCTGTGTGCTGTGGGGTAGAAGTATTGCTACCAAAGGATTTGAGTTACCTGCTTTTGGAACTTTAAAGCAGTTTCAAAGTAATCCTTTGATTTATAAACCGCTGTCGTCTTCTCTAACTTCTGTCAGCTTGTTAAGTGGAAGTCTGCTCTGGGATGGATCTCTGTCCCATTTCAGATTAACAGAGGAGTTTAAGTTGAATTGTAATTGCAACTTCAGCTGGTAGAAAGACTCAGTAATTGATTCTTGCTGATGCTTATGGTATCAGAGAAGCCATGTGATGAGCTCTAGTTCTTAGTGAACTTTTTCACTGAGCAAGATTACAGGTTCAAAGTCGGGCATATTGCCACAGTATCAGAGTATTTTCTGCTGTTTCCTGAAACCTCTTACCTAAATATTTGGATAATTTCTACTTTTTTTCCCCACCATGTCAGAAATGAGAAATCTCTGCTACACTCTCCTCTCTGGCCTTCTGTCACTGAAGATAAAACCAAAACTATATCAAGGGTTGTAATTTCTGTTGTCTGCCTTGAAGCCTTCAGTCCCCCTCCTCTTTCTTACTTCTCGCTTTTGGTCTCCTTTTCATAGAATCATAGAATCAGCCAGGTTGGAAGGGACCTCTGAGATCAAGTCCAACCCTTTTATTGTTAAGTCGCCCAAGCCAGGAAAACCACTGCTTCTAGGTGGACCACCATGCAAATTCCAGCATCCTGATCATCTCTTGTGTTAGCACCCAGCCACTCCTGTGCTATTCCAAGTTGATGCATAATAAGCAGCCTTCTGGCACATTAAATACCATGCCACCATGCATCACAGCTGTGGTATGCCTAATTTGTGCCTGTTTTGAAAACGAGGTTGCATTCTTCAAAAAATTTCGCTTTTTAACCTGCTGCTTGTTCTGTCTTGGACTATAAACTGGCTCCTTTTCCTAATCTCAGCATCAGTATCTGATTTGATGAATTATACATGAAAGGCTTGTTCTAACAAGTGACATATTCTTCAGTAGGAAAATGATTGGCAGCTTGATGACTGTTGAAAAAATTAGGAAAATTGGGGTGCTGTGAGGGAGCAGGCTGGTGCTTGAAAATAAACCTGCCTTGGAGAGCCTTTTCAAAGGCTTTTGATTCAGGTAGAAATTGGTACAATTCAATAACTACTCAGTTCTAGGCACTACCCTTTGTGGTGGCCACATTTAGAATATTTTTGCAATTTCTATGTAACTGTAGTCTAGCCAAAAGCCAGGGAAACTGAGGACAGTCAATTGCAACTTAACAGAGTGCAACCAAAGATCTTGGTTAGCCTGTTTTTGAGGTAGTGATGTGTAAATTTCTTTTTGAGCAGATCTCAGTTATTGTGCACTTAAAAAAGCAGCACGTACATCTTGTGTGTTGACTTTTGTGTCTGGATGTGAGAGCATGTAACCATAAGATGGTTCAGCATTTTTCAAGGTTGCAAAGGAAGGAGTTTTAAGCAATCTTGTGTGCTGATGTTTGAGATTTGCCTATGTACTCTTGAGCAGCACGACCAGTAGCAGGTTGTTAAGAAACTCTGTCTCGTGAAAGTGCACTCTCCATTCCTGAGTTGGGAATCGGAAAGGATTTAAGCTCTCCTATTCCACAGTGGGGAGGAAAAAACTGAGGCTGGTGAAGTATTAAGAGTTTATGCTCATGACATCTGTATTGTAAGTCATTCTCAGTGGTGAAAAATGTGAGAATGAATGGTTTTTACAGGCACCTGGCATATTCTTGTAATTTATTGCTGTTGTTGGCTCCGAGATAAAAGAAAAACTATGAAGTTTATGTTTGAAACCAGTAGTGCAGTAGTGTAGAGGTGTCAAAGAACAGCATCTATAACAGTAGAGAAAGAGTTTGAAAACTTAAAACAAGTGTTAACTTGCATTCAGGTCTGATTTTTGGCAGTAGTTTTATTGCAAGATGTGGCTACCTAAGAATATGATACAGTTAGCAGTTCAGAACCTTTATGCTGTTACAGTTTCAGAGCTACTGCAGACATTGGCACTTTTTTTTTCCTCTTTGTTTTCAGTGAACATTGCAGACAGTGGAGGTTTCGTGGAGTATCTGCAGAATCTGTTTTTACTATGCAGACAGTTGTAGAAACTAACCTTTAATTCTGCACTTGAAATCTCCTGTGTCTGTATTTCAGTGAAGATACATGAGGGTGTCTAAGCTGTTACTGATGTTGGTTTCAGATTTGATGATGCTAAGGTCTTTCCTGGCAGGTAGGACTCTGACTACAAAGTCCTGCATCTAAAGAAAGAGAGGCAAACTAAATTAAATTTATGACCTCTTTTCTTAAGTCTGTGTTTTTAACTGTTCAATCTTCCTACCCTCTTTGCTGAAGAAAATGAAATTACACAGTACTTCCTACATAATTTTATTGAATATACATGTCTTTATACATCTTTATACATCTTTCAGTCTTAAATGCCAAGTACGGAATTAAAGATTTGATCCTGCGAAACCATATGTAGCACAGCAAATGTGACTTTAACCTTAAAAATTTATGTTATTAGTTAAAGGGAAGAAACAGCCAATAACTATTCATTTTACTGTTTTAATGTGATGTTGCCTGCACATTTGGGGATTAAAGGCCACACACTGTTGAGGCTGGCTTCTCTTTATTTCTGAATGTTTTACCCACCAGGGGTGTGAAAGTTAGCTAGTGTGAGGTTAGCAGAGGGGAGGTGGTAGGGGACAGCTGTGCAGCAGAGGTCGTGGCTCCCTGTCCTCTTGCACATCAGAGAGACATTTGGTGCTGCTCTCTTTCATTTGTCGAGTTCCTTTGCAAGATAAATGGGTGAGGTTCAGGACGGGCTGTTCAGTGTTCCCCTCTGCTGAAACAGCTCGCTTTCCTCTCTGCTGCTGGAGAGCCTCACACACAAAGACTGCTACGAAACGGGTCCCTGAGCTTGGTTCTTTGCAGGGAAGAACAGTGGAATTCTTTACCCCTGTGTCTTCGTGGAACTTTCAGAAGTGCTCTACTGAGATGCTAAAAACTCAACACTCTTTGAGTTTTCATAGTTGTTTCCCAGGGTGTATGTTCAGGCAGTATAAAGGCTGATAAACTCAGCCTCCTCCTAACTAACTGGCACCATTTAGAACCAGGCCCTCCCTTAAGCACAGCAGGATGGGTGCTGTGTCTGCAATTAGAGCAACTAGAAAATACTCCTACCCTCTTTGAAGGTATTTAAAACAAGCCTGACCTATCTTATATAGATTCCTGGGGAAACAGCCTGGTAAGTTACTGGTTCTTGTAGTAGGACTTCCCCCCTTCTAGTGAGATCTGGTTTATCTGGTTCAGTCCTCAGAGCTCCAGGCTATCCTTTCCAGTTGTTTTGAGTAGGCTGAAGTGCCAGTGCAACTAAGTGGGAGCATCTGGAGTTTAGTGGTGGCTGAACATGTGCTCAAAGAGCAGCACTTCACTGCCTCAGAAGGAAAGTGAACCCTGTAATCCTCTCTGTCAGCTGAGGATGTCTGGAAGCTTTTTTGAGGTACATACAGTGTTTTACAATAAACTGATTACCACTCAGCTTTGAAGTCTGGGAGGGACAAAGTCTGAACACCTCTCTTAAGTGAGGCCCTCCAAGGTGCTAAGGCTGACCCGAAGTCCCCGCCCATACAAACTGCTGGAATGCGTCTGTCACGGCCCTCTGGAGGGTTTATCAGGGCATGGCAGACACTCTGCTCTGGAGGGCAACACAGCTTTTCCCCTTTGGTTTCCAAGGCTTTTCCCATGGTTGAAAAACACAAGACACTGGCATCAGCATAAAAACATTTGCTCCCCAAACCGAGTCAAGCAAAAAGGTTGGGCTGAGAAGGTTCTTTGAAGATCTGTCACGTGAGCAGTGCTTTTACATGCTCAGCCTATAGTTACTGTCACACAGCTGTTTGCCTGCCTACAGCACAAATCCTTGGCAAGGAGGGAGGTTTACAGTGTGTGCTTTAGGTGTGGATTTTACTGCCTTCCTCTAATGTGCATGAGTGCCATGTTGTCACATAGTCTGTGCTGACGCAAGTTTCCCTGACAGCAAAAGTCAGCTAGTACTGATCAACTTCACTAGAAAAAGGGGATGATTTAAACAGTTCACTTTTGCTCTTCTCAAAGAGCAAAAATTTGTATATTCGTAACTATTCTTGGGGACATAA